CCAGCCTGTTAGTCTGTGGGTGAGAGGCCACTAGGAGATCCCCGGGCCGTAGGCTAGACTGAGTTAAAAAAAAAAAAATCCACCCTGAAGACAAGCCCCATCAAGCCCTTTCTGTAGAGTTAGCCAGAAAACTACAGGGATGTTTCCATGTAGCCACGAGCGTTTTAGGTGACAGCTGCTCCTTGGAAGCGCAAGAGGACTTGGATGGGAGACCACCAGGAAATCATAAAGGTGGAGGTTGAAAGCCAATGGAAGACGCCAATGGAAACCTCTCCTTCTACCACGGAAACTTGCCTGGGTGTGTCCACGAAGTCAGTAGGAGCCACGTGGGACGAGCAGGCAGCCTTCCTTCCAAGGCAGAAGAAAGCCACGTTCTCCATGGGGTTGGTGGGAGAGGCCCCAAACTGCCAGTAGGTCTGTGGCCGACTCTGTGCTATGAACCCATAGCTGCTGCGGCTTGTAAAGCAGCATTTGTGGATTAGGGTGTGGTGCGATCCCAGCTAGCTCTGGTTTATTCCGCAAACCAGGATCAAGCAAACTGCAACGTGTGTGTAAAGAGCGACTTTAAGCGTAGTTCGGTTGATGCTGTTTATCTGCCTGGGCACTTATTCTAGCCCAGAATATTCACGGGATTGGTTCCTGGCCATCCTTTTACCAACACCCTGCAAGGTAGGCCAAGGGCGTTCGCTGCCTCCTGGGAACATGGGGGCAAAAGACACGTGGAGACCACCCTTGTGGAGACCACCCAGAGCTGCCAAGGGGCTGTTGATGCTCTTTTGCTTTTCAGTGGGGCAAAGAAAAAAAGGGGGGGCAAATCTCAGCCCCCAAACCTGTGGTTGCCCCATTGCAGACCCAAACAGAGGAAACCCCCTACACCGGTGTTTCTCAACCATGGCCACTTTAAGATGGGGGGAATTCTGGGAGTTGAAGTCCACCCGTCTTGAAGTGGCCACGGTTGAGAAAAGCTGCACATTTGAGAAATGCCCTGTTCCAGCAGGGGCTTGGCATAGCTGTCCATGCCAGTTTTGGGGCTTCTCCCTCGCCCTGCTGAAATTCCCCTGCCTTGGGGGTCTTGGGGGCCCAGAGACAAGGGTTCCAAAATGTCATTTGCCCCCCCCCTTTTTTCTGTTTTGCAAGAAGGCCACTCCATGGAAGATGCTTGCCGCAGGTGGTGGTTGGTGCCATGAGGAGGACTTGCAAGAAAACCTTGTGCCATTCAGAGCCCGCTTTCAACGTCCAGCCGGCCAGTTCTGCCCTCCTCAGAGGAATGCCATTCCACCCAATCGCCCCCCAAAACGACCCCTGCAGGATGTGGGTCGCATTTGGGGGGGATTAGTTCCCCTCCCGTGCATGTGTACGTCCAACTTTGGGGTCCCTACCCCACAGCCCCCTGAAACGGTGCCATTGATTCAGCCCCCCTAATAAGTGACAGCCTTCAAGGCTGAGCTTCGGAAAGAGGCTGAATTTCACAAATTGTGGTGATTCATCGTGGAAGAAACCTCTCCCATAAATTTCTCCAAGAGTTTAAGGAGTTTAAACTGGAGACCGACACACAATTCATTTGAAACACAGATTGTTTATTACGGCGCCAGCTAAACTCCAATACTCTAAATAATAAACAGTTTGTGCTTCGATGGAAGAAAACGTTGGGTCCCCGTTATTAAAGAACTCGGGGAAATTTCCCCTGCCCGATAAGCTGTTGCTGTTATGTGCACGCTGTCTTTTTATAGATATTAAGCCAAAGGTGGTTTATCAGAAATAAAAGGACTAACTTCTAGAAACACGTAACACAAACTTCCAGAAATCATTAGCAATATTGTTAGTCACACAGAAAACTGTGTATATTTAATGATTAATTGCATTCTTCTTGGATCCAAGATAAACTTGCTTGAAGTGCTGGTCCCGCTGCCCTTCCCCCAGTGGCTTCAGATATTCAATTATAATTTTAAAAATGATGAAAGGTCTGCTTTCCAGGAAGACCCCCACCCCACCCCAAAAATCTGGCATTAAAAGGCAATTGTGACCACCTCCCCCAGATTGCACATCCTTGCTAAATAACAAGGGAATCCCATGGAATCTCGGAAGCTGTCGGGTGGTTTAGTGGGATCCACCAGCCCAAAGGGGTTGGGCTAGATGTCCTCTGAGGACCCCCAGCTCATACATTCTATAACCAACTGAGCACAGTTCCCAAGCGGTCGAGCAAACCTTTCCCAGCACCGCAATCCGGCTGCGGAGCAGCCGCTGAATGCCGGCAAAGCGAGGTTCAATTTTAGGAAAGTGTTCAAAACAGAACCGCTTCAAAGGCCTTTTGGCGTTCGAATGCAGCCATCGAGTTGTTTACTTCTTGCAGGTTGGGTTGGGTCCCGCTCAGAATTCCCTTTCTGATAAAAACTTGTGTTTTTAATTTTGGACCGTTCACTTTCGATGGTTACCACAGATGTTTTATTGCAATTTATCGATTGCAACCTGCCAAGCAGTCGAGAGATGGCAGTGAGACAAAAGCTGTATAAATAAATAAGTTCTCAGAAGCTCTGAGCACGGCAAAAGTGCCCTGTTGCCAACGGCACTAAAGCTGCCGAGAAAGCCAGGAACACCCACAGGGTGACCCTGCCTGATCTCTTCCTCGCGGTCTCCCCAATGGCTCACCCAGCAAGGACGCCCAAGGTCATCTCCGCCCAGATCCAGAGGTAATGAGATCCAAATGTAATCCATTTCCCCCAAAACTTCGCTGACCTGCAGTATCTGTGTTGTAGCAGAGCCTTCCTCCTAAGAGAGGTCCATCCAAAGCTCTCCTCCGGGGAGGGGGGGAGACGTTCATTTTATTTTACGATTTATTTTACAATTTCTAGGTCCCACCGTTCTGCCCAAAGATCACTCAGATTCAGACCCTTTTTCTATCTTTCTTTTCCAGAAACATTCAGCGTGCTGATACTTTCTGAGCACACACAATCCTTGCAACGTTTGGGCAATTTTTTAAAAAGGATCGTTTTGCCTTCTGACATTGATTTTAAGGTTTGGTTATACATTTTGCACTTTTGCCTTTTAAAGTTCTTTGCAAAATACTGGAATCTCCCTTTGATTTCTCGGCTGCATTTTTCTTGGCACACACTGCCGGAGTTTGCTAATAGAAGGGAAGTTAAGTCACGCTGGCATCGTGGCGCTTCAGAAACCGTCATAGGATCCAGCGATGCTCAACACCATAAAAAGCTAATTAAACCCCGTGTGTCGAATTCTTAAAATTTAGCATGCCAGCCATTAATTCAGAATCCCAATAACTTGATAAACGTTTTCCTTTCATTTTCCCGTGGATTGCTATCATTTTTGCAGACTTTCACTCCTTCCTTAATTACAATTTTTCCCTGGATAGATCCGTGTAATCTGCTTATCAGTTTAGGTGTACCTTAATCTATGGTTCTTGAATAAACCACATTTGGCTGGGTTCGCGCCTTGCGTTGAAGCTGAAGTCTGACCAGCGTGCTAGGTGGATATTGTCCGGCCAGCCTCGCCTACCTCGTAGGGTCTTCTGAGGATAAAAAGACTGTGGCAAGAAGGCTCTTTGGCTATCTTGGAGGACCAGCGGTCCAGGGATGAGAGACCTAAACTAATGATGATTCATTAGCGTGGCTGCAAAGTTGCAGGCAGGATCTCTTCCTCCAGCCTGGCTGCCTTCACTTCTGCAGGAAATTGGGGCGAGGAAATGAGGAAGTCTTTACAGCACCCGGTGCAAACGGGCAGTGAATGTGCCACAGAGGGCGTTGTGCAGAGCGAGCGAGAGAGCATCCAAGGATGCTTCTGCACTTCTATGAGCCCACACCCTCTGGCCAGCAGCCACCCACTTTCTCTTTCGCTTCACATAGAATAGCCACAAAGAACTGGGAAAACTGGACCACGCAGCCTGGGAGGGCAGAAATAAGAAGTTTGCCGCTCCCCCTCCTGCCTCCCAAAGTCCTCCCCACACCCCAGCACACAAACCCACAGGCAGGACTTCGAAGGCAGCAGCGTTCTCTGCCCCGGCTGCTCTCTTCAAAACTTGGCGTTCAAGGTAGACTGCCTTGAAGCAGTGAGGCTCTGGCTCAGCCGGACTGCTCGAACCAGGGCACCTTTCCAGATGTGGTTCGCTACGATTCTGGCCATCTCCTGCTGGGCTGGAGCAGTAGTCAACCCCAGTAAATAAAGGAATAAAATAAACACCCACACCAAATTGGGTTTGTGTCACAGGGCCCCAAGCACCGTGCTGTACTAATATTATGAAGAGGGAGAGTCATGATTTTCAGCTCCGCTTCTGTTAGTACTAAATATTTATCTCATTCCCCTT